ATACCAAAGTGCAGTTCTGTTTTAATCCACAAGATGGTGAGACCAAGGTGTCTGTCAATGGGTTAGGAGTCATTCAGTCAGATTCTTATGTTTGCTTGCTGTTGTAAATAACACTGGATAAATGTGTTTGTTTAAACATTTAAGGCTAAATCTTTTTCCCCTGCTTCACAGTTCTGTTCTGCTTCAATAAAAAGACTGCAAAGTAAAATCAGCAGAGTGTGGACTTCATTAGATTAGGCAGAATGATTTTTGGCGAAATAATTTTCAGTCAAAATGAATAAATTATAATTTCAAAATGTCATCACAGTACTTGGCATATCACATCTTTAAATAGTGCACTAGAATCATACAGTGACTCAAGTATCGTGATGTATCTTGGTGTTCAGTGAATCTCACCCTCACCTGTCAGTATCTAACTGTTCCTGTTCTCTTCAAAAATCTGGCTCCAATACTGAGAACTGCCTTCAGAATGTAATTGGTGGTTTCCGTGTTGAAAATGAATTCGACTGTTTTCTGGGGGATTTTTCACTCAGTGTAATTGTTTTTCCAAGTTCTCATTGAAGTCTTGCATGTTGGTGAGTGAGGTCAGCCAGTCCACATTTCACACAGTAGTGGTTTGTTTTGATGGAGCGGCTGATCACAACAGAATTGAAATTTAGGTTGACATTTCATTGTTTAGTTAAGGTAACCAGTCTGAGTTATATAAACTTTAAGTAACTGATCAGTGTTTTTGAGCAGCAGGACGGTTGTTATACGTTCATAGTTAATATGCAGGTTGACATTGAGTTGAAAAATCCTTGATTTAGTGTAATCAGGTTGGAGCTGCTTGAAGAAAGTGTGGCTAGTAGAAACAAGGCTATCATTGCCATGCTGTTTGCAAAAAATGCTAATAGGCAGTAGTGAAAGTGCACGATCACTTAGCATTATGCTGTTAGCATTTGTGGAGCTACTTTTAACGTAGCTGCTTTAGTGACACCAGAGTCCTGTATCGAAAGTGACTGTGGCATGTCTGGTTGCCAGGTCATTGATACTACAGGAAGAGAATGCTGAAACCTTTCCCGTGTTTGCAGGATTGCTTGTTCCTGTCGAAACCCTGTATGTTTCAGACATCTGCACGTTTGTTTCCATATCATCTAGAAAACGTTTTAATCTCCGCTTTTAGTTTAGTTTCAAAGTGGTAAAATGTGTTTGAGGTTAATTTGCCACAGTAACACAGCTGCTCCTCTGCTCGCGGTTGAGGGGGAATGAGTGAGTCAGTGCTTGAAATGCGTTAGACCTATTTATACCAACGAGATGGATTTAAATGTGGAATTTATCGTTTTGGGTGCATAATCTGCCGCTGAAAGCTTTTGATCCATTCCTTAATTGGGCATTTATGTAACAGCAAGCTGTCTGGAGCGGATGGTCTTACAGTTCTCGGTAACACAATTAACTTTCTCTTTACAGGTTTCTGCCTTGGACCAGGAGATCATTGAGGTAGATCCCGACACTAAGGAGATGCTTAAGCTTCTGGTATGTTGAATTTTTATTTCACGAATAGAAGAGTGAGCCCCTGTATCGAAAGTGACTGTGGTGTCTGGTTGCCAGGTCATTGATACTACAGGGAGAGTGAACTGAAAGTCTTTCCCGTGTTTGCTAGACAACATGTTCTTGACAAACCCTGTATCTTTCAGACATTCACTTGTTTGTGCATTGATGAATATTCTTGTGAGAGACTTTTTACTGAGCATTGTTTTGTTTGTTCTTGCTGTTTAAACAAATGTTGGTTTAGTAATGAAAATTGTTCTTAAGGCAAACGGTGTTGAATTTGGGCTTGTCGCTTCAGCCTTATTTTGTTGTGGGTCCTTTTGATGGGTCACTGATGGCCTCTAGTGACTATGAGATATTGGAGTCTTAACCCATCCTTCTTTTTGTTCCTCTTACAGGATTTTGGCAGTCTGTCCAACCTGCAGGTCACCCAGCCAACAGTCGGCATGAACTTCAAGACTCCACGAGGAGTCTAGATGTTTGTAATATATCTCGTAATAAAACTGTGGAAAATTTGAATAATGAACTTGAGTGTTTCTGTGTGCTGTTAGTTATCTGATCTAATCGAGACTTGAGTCTGTGGGTCAAAAACATGAAGCCGTACAGAAAAAGCAAATGACTTGGGCAAGACGGGGAAAAGGGAGGACAAAACAGAGCAGAAATATCTAGCCAGATATTGTGCACAAGTGAGATTACCACAAAGCTGATGTTTTTCATTTTTAAGATAAGGTCATGCTTTTGGATCTCTACTCCTATAGGCAGGGCTACATTAACCCAGTGGCCTTTAGGGGCTGCTGCCCAGGGCTCCCAGCCACCAGGGGGCTCCACTAAGATTATTGCAAATGAAATAAGAGTGAAAGCATCTGGTTAGTTAAAGACAGATTTGGCCTCGATTATCCAGAACTTTACACTGCATCACGAGGCTTAAATTAGGATAAACGGAGCAGAGCTCCAGTGCTTTTGGGTTATGTAAATAAGTGTAACTGAGCTCCTGTACTGTACATTTTTCATTTAATGACATTAAACTATTCAGTAAGACAAACTGCACCAGACATCCACTTCATTCCCCCTTCTAATGTTATGAGCATTTGTTTTTTGCCCATGTTTGTATGATTTAGTGAAGTGGCTCTTGTTCTACTGATGTCCATAATTATGCAAGTATGGATCAGTACTGCTGTTTTCATGATACAGTAATGCGCTATGTGAATGGGTTATGAGTAGCCCACATAGTGCCATTTTGTTTTTTACTTAACCTTTGAACTCTGAAATTGTGATTACTAATTTAGGTTTCATGCACTTATGGTTTTGTGATCTTATGTAAACTATGTCCAAAAAACACAAACTAAACTTTTGTGTGCACTCAAGATTTAGTTCTAGTGCAGGGTCTTCAGACACCCCTTCTGATTGGTTAGAGCAGTATAAATCTCCCCAGCATTTGGAGCAGTGGAACTGGTCTGTGGAGTGATGGAGCTCCTTTGGGATGACCTAGAGTTGTTTGTGATGGCCTCACTAATACTCTTGTGGCTGAATGCATTCAGATCCCCACAGCAATTTTCCAACATCTAGTGTAAAGCCTTCTCAGAAGAGTAGAGGCTGTTAGTGCATGTACAAAAGTTTGTCCTCTTTTGCTGCAGTAAGTTGTCTTGTGTGCTGAAAGGGGCCTGAAGGTAGGGATTGCACAGTGCTCAGAACTTCTTAATGTATCTCTTCCTATAGGTGCTCAGTCTCTGGGCATTTGGGATTGTTATGGGGCAAAATAAGTTGAAAATTTCAAGAAACATTTCTGTTTCTTTATTGTTCAATAAATCACTGTTAACAGCGATGAACTGTCACACTAGTGTTTGTAGTAGCTAATAGATTTTTCTGAAAGGAGTGGGACATACAACTATGTGTGCTTAAGATTTTCTAGAATCATTGGAAAAAGCTATTTTTCCAGACATACTTGAAATTCCATATTTTCCAGGAAATATGGATGTCAGCGTGTCAACTTCAGCAGGCGCTTACAGGTGTCTGTCATGATGTCAAGAGTGCATAAACGTCAGATATTTTACTACATACCGTTTTCTGTGGTAGTTCTAAATCTAGGTAGCAGTCTGTATTGTTTTACAGGCCTTCATTTACAACATATTGGTAGCAGAAATGGGACTCTGAGGTCTAACGTAAGACCTATATAGCTGCAAAATTTCTTCTCTTCTTCCTAATATTAGCGTTGTCTTTTGAAGCAAAATTAAGACTTATTCAACTTGCAGTGAAGAACAAAAACCTGTCTGGATAAGGATGGTCTCTTTAAATTAAAGAAAGTGTGGCAATAGGACAGTTTGAGTGTTAAATTGTATTATACTTCTTGAAGAATATTTCCAAAAATAACTCCTCAAATTAATTTTTGATGGGTCAAATATCTGCTCTGGGTCTTTCCTTAAAAATGTTTTAAAAGCTGCAGTATGTCAGGCCTTTTTTGGTAAAATGGAGAGAAGTAAAGTCAAGAGAAAAAAACATGAAAATATTCTCTCTTGTCTGCTGCTGCAAGTCAACCTTGTAAAGCAGAGGGGAACTCTGGTCCTGAAGAGCTGAAATCCTGCAGTTTGGTGAGCTTCTGATCACATCTGATTGTCAGGTTTAGCAGGTTTGTTAGAGCAGGGAAATCATCAAACTTTGCTAGACTCTGGCCCTCAGTTCTCCTCCCTTGCAGTAAAGCTTAAAACAGTCATTTAAAAGTCAGAGGAGAGGGGTCTGAGTTTGTGGGAGTTTTTTGGACCACGTCATACGTCTTTACATAACATCACATGCACAGGCTGAAAAAGAGGGGAAGGAGTCCAAAGCAAAATGTTGTTTACACATTTCCACCAGAGAGATCTCCAAATCCCCAAACCTTACATAGTGCTGCTTTAAAGAGCTAGTGTTGGATTAAAACAGTGGTGTTGAATCTTATCCTGTGGGTGAAGGTTTTTATTCCAACAAAGAAGGAGCACACATAATCAGTGATCGCAAGTGCTCCTTCTTGTTTGGAATAAACACTGCAGCCACACCGGCCCTTTGCGGATGTGATCTGACACTCCTGGGTTAAGGTCTTGGTTTTGGTCTCTATCCCTGTAGGTGATACTCTGCCTTGCTGCATGTGGAACTGTTTTGAACAAGCAAATTGCTGAGAACCAATCAGTACCCAGTATGCTGTATCTCAGGAATGAATCAGAAAGCAATGTCACTGCAGGAATCAATCAGAAAATACTCTATTTCACCTTGAAAACTAATCAGATCATACTCCACTTTACTTAGGGAACCAATCACAAAACACTCTGCTTTACTTGTAGCAAAGTAGAAATCACAACTCGCTCCACTCAATTTCAGTTTTTGTCATGAGGAATATCACTGCCATTCAGTACACCAGACATTAATCGCAGTACGACTCGTATCATCGGTTATAAAGACTGAGTAGAGCGCTGAAAGTGCTGATAGGCCAGATGAAAGGAAAAGAATCCATTAATTTACAATTTTATTAAATCTGTCGATGAAAAACACAGACAAGAAGAGATGCTATTCTGTCAATGTCAGGAAGAACAGTCAGCATGGCTAAGTGAGAGATCAGGAGCTTTTGGTGCAAAAATTCATCACTATTATTGCAAAAATGTTTGATTAATTTCATCACCATCACACTAGTCCATACAGAGCAGCACTGTTCAATGTAATGAGAAAGGGAAGAGATGACAACCAAATAAAAAAAGAACTAATGGCAATAATAGTTAATTATAATCATATAATAATTACAAAAGAAATAAAAACATCTCTAAACGGACAAAACACAATCACCTCAATAATAAGACGAAATTCGGTCACTGTCACAACATCAGAATTTCTTCTTCTTTTTTTTTCTTTTAAATGAATTAAATATTGTTTTTAAAAATATTTCACCATCTATTTATACTCGTTTTTATTGCGAAAATAGGCGACTGGACTAACTGTGATGATGAGAGATTGAGTCTGGACAGTGGAAGTGTGGCGTTGGCACTGAGAGAGAGCTGCAGTGTGTGCGGGGGGGGTGCAGTACCCTCTTTCAGCCACAGGGGCGACAGTCAGTCTCACATTCCAACAGCCACCCACAGTAACAGGTGTGTCACTGTAACTGTCTCCATGGCAGCGAGGCTCCATCCTTCAACTAAGCTGCATTTTAGTCTTTGCGGTGGAGCAGATGTCAGTTTGTAGCTGGACCGGTGGAGCTCTGTACATTGGTAGTTATCCTTGAACGAAACGTACAAACACAAGTGCAACCTCAGTTTTTACACATCCTCAGTTGGAGACGTTCAGGAACGAAAGGGGTTCAGGTAGAACCAGGACAGGTTTGGGTTCGCCTTGCCAGAAACATGAAGGTGCTTGCTGACGAAAATAAAAAGAATTGTTCTCATTGTACAACAGTAGGAAGCATAAATGTGGCAGCAGGGTCAGGAATGCTTAGAGCGTCAACAACAGCAGGTGGCTCTAACCAGAGGCCCTCGCTGTCAAGGACTCTGGCTTCACCCTGTTTAAAAATGAGCGGACTGACAGAAACAAAGTAGAGGAATCTCAACAGATGAGTGAAATGCACATCGTTTTGCTTGTCCTTTTTCGCCATCGGTCTCTCCATGTTTTCATTAGCTCACCACTGAGTAATCAAGAACAATGAGCAGTCTGTAGAAGTCTCTTGCATTCCTTTTTTGTTCATTCTATGCACTCTCTTTCATTTCTGTTTTAATCCAGAGGCAGCAGGTCTGGCTCCCCCTGCTGTCTTGGAGTCTCCTTTATGTCTGCAGGGGCCTGGAGAGTGGCATGCAGCCCTGGGTGAGTGTAAGCTGTGAGGTTTTCTTGGGGTGGATTCTGAGGGGCGAGGGAGGGTTGTAAACAGTTCTGTGGCAGAACCTTGGCTCAGGGGGCTCTGTCTCTGTGGTGGGGGAGGGGGGGAGAGGAGAAGAGAGAGAGGAGAGGGATAGAGCAGAGAGGGACTCAGGTGGGCTTCCTGTTAGACATGAGAAACAGTAATAGCAGTAACACTGACATGCATGTCAGGATTTTAGAACATACAACATAATCTGATCCCCCCCAGCTCACAGTGCACCCTGTCAATACAAGGCAGTGATGCCAATACTTGAGATTCCTTGAAGTTTTTGGAGGCAGCTGGAGTTTAACTATTGGAACATTGAGGCTGGTAAAAAATAATGAGGGGAGTTCACTAACTATTTCAACTGTTCAAGAACATTCAAGAAGACTTTGCACAAGGCACGGGTGCATGCCTTTCAGAACGTACCCGCAACTCTTAGCTAGAGATTTAAGACACAAATATGGCTGAAGCACGTAAACATCTTCAGGTACTCCGTAAGATTATGCCTTAGTGTGATTAACCAGTATATGCTTCTCTTGCTGTTCTGTTGTGATACAATGCATCACCCTATTCATACAAGTGATACTGATATGAATAAGGGTGGGGAAGAAAAAGACTATCCTAGTTATTGGTCAGCACCAGCTAAGCGTGTATGTGTTTGTGCCTGATAGACTGACCGTATATAATGAATGCAGATTTCAACCTGAACTAAAGACCAACAGTCATATAGTAGCCCACGTACGTCCCTCCTTTAAGCTTCATTCCCGCCCCCCTCTCTCTTTCACCTCTCTTTCTTTCCCCCCCAGACTGAGAACAGGGTGCAGTCCTGGAGGCTGCCACTAGGGGGTGGGAATGAGTGTCTGAGGGGAAGATGCTACGAGTTGAGCCAGGGGTGGTTCAGGCAGTCTCTCGCCGAGGCGCGTTTTTCTGGAACCATCTCTAGCATGGGCAGCAGGAAGTGCGTGAAGTGGCCTGCGTCCTCAGGCGACCAGCCATACTTCTCTACCAATACGTCAAACAGGGACCACGGCTTCAGCTTAGTGATGTGCCGCAACTCACCTACAGAGCAGAGAGAAAACTTGAGTTAGTGCTGCAGTTTTTGTTTGACCCTTTTTTTGGGACAAAAATGTAAAATCGGATTCATTTTTGGCAAAACAAATTAAGGCTCACTTTGCCAACAATTAGCTATTATTTTTAAGTCAAACACCCTTTTCAAAGTTGGAGTAAGTTCTAATACATTTTGCTCTTCCAATAGTAAATTTCTCTCATTATGTGACCCAATGTTTCAGATGCAGCTGAAGTACTTGACTGACACTGGCAATGTAGATATTGGTCATACCAGTAAAGTGATTGAGGGCCAGTTCATTTTCATGTATATATATATATACAGTATATACGTACTATGTACTTTATTTGCAGTAAGCATTTATTTGCTCAGAAAAAACTATATTAGAATAAATACAAATATGAATATAGTAAAGCAGTGATTTTACGTATGTCAATGTGTTCATTTAACCATTAATCAATACTATAATTATGTTAAATCTGTTGCGCTTGCGATGGAATTTAACAAATCTTTGTGATGAGGCATTGAGGAGAAATCTGAAAGAAAACCTCCGCTCTTCAGGACATCAACTACTTTTTTGGGGAAAAAAATAAATTCTTGTTACCCTTTCATATATATAATACATATATTCAAGGGGCTTCTGGTGGTTTGGGGACCCTAAGCAACTGCTTATACTGCTTGTAGCAAGAAATAGCCCTGGCTACAAACATTTTATCTTAAGTGTCTATTAAAAAGCATATTTTATCAACAGACAATAGGCCTGGACACTCTTCTTTTCTCATTTTGCAGGCAAGATCGTTATACAGGGTGATTCAAAAAGATTCATCTGATTTCAAAGTCATATTTTTACAACCATGAGATGCCTAGGAACCAATCACATACCAGTTGAAAGAGGAGGTCATAGAGTTTCTGACTGTCACCGGAAGATGGCTCCCTTCAGTCTGCAAGGAGATGGTGACCCCTGAGCAGAAAGTGTTTTGTGTTCTCCACTTCAATAAGAGTGAATCCGTCAAACCTGTGCAACGTGATTTAGCAGTGAACCTCCAACAGCTCAGAGCATTCGTCGTTGATTCCACGACACTGGATGATCTCCGAAATCATATTGAAAGAGTCATGAGTACAGTGACACCCGACAGGCTCAATCGATTATGGGATGAATTTGACTATCGTGTTGATGTTGTCTGTACAGCTGGAGGAGGGGATATTGATCACTTGTAAAATTACATAATAAACTTTATGCTCACTTAAACTATTTACAATTTACTGCATTGTTCTGTAATGATTTACAAGTGAAATAAATCATTTTGAAATCAGATGAATCTTTTTGAATCGCCCTGTATTATGAGGTACAGTGTTCAAAAGAGGTATTAGCCAGTGGTTCCCAGTCCTTCTGGAGTACTCCATGCACCTTTTCGTGCTTTCCCTGCCGTGCCTGTATTAGAGCACAAAAAAACTATAAAAAGCAGGGCAGGGGTACTTCAGAACCAGGGTGGGGAAACATTAACAATTACTATGGACAGCTGGTGTGTGCATCCCTTGTTAGCTAACTATAACAAAAACAGTTGTTTTATCTCTGTGACTGACAGAGCATGGCGAGCATCCTAGTTTGATGACGCATTTTCATGAAAATATTCAGAACAAAACTTCACTCTTGTTTACATACAGAGCACTTAGATGACACACTGGCAAAGAAAGGGATTTCTTTAAGGCCTGCCATTTTGCTCTGTCTAAACTGTTGGAATGGCAACTTATTGATGTCCAGTGCAGTGTAGATATAGGTTATAAGCACTGTTAGTTGCCACTGTCCGGTGGGATTAATGTCACTCTGGTCTATATTTGGAGTAGAACAAGAGAGTTCTTGGTTCCTGTGACCTGAAGACGCGGAGCTTCATTACCTTTTCTTGAGAAGAACTCACGGCTGTATTTTCCTGCAGCGATGACTTTGCGTGGGACTTTCCCCAGCAGCTCCATAATCAGAGCGATGTGGTCTGACCACCGTACACGCACGGACACACCCCAAAGACACACATCCAGAGACAAAAACAAAACACGCGCACAGACATCAGTAAACCATGCACACACACTCATGCAGGACGACGAGTAGATGCATGGCAGCCTAACTTGCGCACAGACAGAAGAGACCGCTACTCTTAACATCTTTTTTCAGGCAAAAATGACTATGATTGTGTCATGAATTACAGTAGTCTGTATCACAGACTAGACTGGGGGGGTCAGAAGGTAATGAAGGAGGCTTAATGCCTTTATAATCCGTTCAAATTATACTGGCAATATTGTTCATGTTCAGTTTTTGTGTCTGTCTGTCTGTGCCGAGCAGGATTGTGCATGTACTTGTCATCCCCGAGTGCTCCTACTGCTACCTCTCCGGTTGAAGAACTCCCGGGAATATTTTCCAGAGAGAGCAAAGTGTCGTGGAATACAGCCCAAGAGCTCTATGATGTGAGCTATGTGATCTACAGAGCAGAAAGAGAGGGAGGACAAGGGAGGCACAGGGAGAAGAGTGCAGGGAGGTGGGAAGGAAGGAAGGGCAGAGGTAGGGAGAAGAAGAGGAGAGGAAAGGAGCAGAGAGGGAAGTAGAAAGGGATTAGAGAAGAGGTAGAGAGAACAAAGAGAAAATCTAGTGTTAGTGAAACTAACAGTATTGTGACAAACACAGATCAAATGGGAATCCAGACACAGTACCTTTCTACACTCCAAGCCTCTGGCTGTTTTATAGATTTCTTTGTCACTTGAGTCATGTTCTCCAATGTCATAACATAATTACATCTGTGGCCTGAAGTGATGGTGTGAGTGTGACAGTGAGAGGAGCAGGGAGACTTTGTCAATGAGAGAGAAGTAACTGGCCAACGGATTGGGCCTAGATAACCAGAGGGGTAAGTGAGTGGGCAGGAACTAATTATGTAATTTAAGTGTCAGTTTGGGAAACTGAAGCACTTCTGTTTGTTGTCTTTATATGCTTTAGGGAATAAAAACACCAGGATATACACGTTCTTACAGATGAGTGAGAGTGGGAGACTGGATGTGGATCTAAAGACTAGCAGAATGAGTGAGACTGGAAGAATGAAGACATATATAGAGAAACTGACAGGAAGACTGAAGTGGAGCAGGGTGAATGAGTAGGCTACAGGGAGCTTAGTAACCAGACAGAAGCACTAAAGGTGTAGCTGTAAAGATTATCAACATATTGTCACATATATGATATGTTCAAATAATTGAATAGCTATAAACTTTACATTGTAGTACACTACAGCCTATGTGATCAAATTAACGTTGACGAAATTGTTTGAATAGTAACACGAAGAGGGTGTCTACCTTCATCGCGTGAGTAGTCCTCTCCTGAGTGGGGCTCAAACAAGTAGTCTCCTGTGGCCAGCTCAAACGCCTAAAAGGAAGGCAAACAGGACCAGTGATCAGCCTGACAGGGTCAATAACTGACACCAGTGGTAGTCTAATTAAAACTTGGGAAGATCTAGTTGCATAATTTTTTTTGGTTGTGGAAGGTCTGGATAAACTAACACGTGAACAACGGTTATCATTAAATTCTTAAATTCACCATTAATGATCGGTCCAAGCAACTAATAAAAAAAAGACACATCAAATATATTTTGACAAACTGTTTTATTTTGAATGTATTTTTATAATCTAAGGAGCATTTTAAAATGAGCTATTGTTTGTAGATAGACAGATAGATAAACAAACAGGTCTAAATGTCTTGAATATCTTTAAATCCTATCTTTTCATACAGTAAATAAATGAAACATAAAAAGAAATATATAAATAAAATATATAAAATTATAAATGTTATTTTTATGAGCATTTCATGCTCTTGTGCTGCCACTGAATGGACAACCACTCAGGTGGACCTTTCATGTTGAGCTCTGGTTTTACTTTATTTGTTCTCAGAACTGGAATTTTTGGGTAGGTGAATGTTTTGTTTCACAAAAACGTTTCCACTTTCGATGAGGCCATGCACTCTAAACAGATGAGAAACAGAATTTGCTTGTAAACTCTGTTTTTGTTGTCAACTTCCCTTTTTTAACAAGCCTTATTGTTGCTTTGCTACTCAGATTTACGTTTAGGTAAAAACAACAGACTGTTTAAACTGTAACACAGGACCACTACAGAAGTCGTGCTGATTCATGTTCATGTCTGTTTCATTTCTTACATATGTTAGTTTTGCTACAGTTTATTTTTTCAAATGCTCGGTTTGGTCCAGTGAAATATTTCACTGTGTCTGCGTCCAGACCGTGTTCCTCCAGTTGACTACCTCTGGTAAAGATGCTGCTTTTAGCTGCTCTAAAAAAGCTCAAATTCCCAACCTGCCCAAACTTAGTTAGTACAGAGTATTTATTCAAGTTGGAAATGTATTAAATGTGTCTTAAGTTTGTGTTCTCGATCTTTTACGGTGCTACTATACCAAACAGAGTCACTGTTTGTTGGTGAGCAACAATACCGTAAAGTAAAAGAAACAAACTGTCATTAGTTAACATGGACACAGAGTACCATGGACACATCATGAAGCACCAAATGCTACTTGAGTGCTAACAGCAGCCCTTTGTGGAGCATCTTCAGCCTGCTAAGCTGTGCCTGTCTGAGTGAGTGCATTACCATGAGTCCATGAAGCTCCTGGCCTTTAAAAATACAAAACAGAGCTGAGCTATATTTGTAGTACAAGTGATGGGAATCAGAATCTCAGACTCAAACTCAGAATCATATTTATTTGCCAGTAACATTAAGGAAATTGTCTTGGTATGTCTGATGTTTTATCATCACAAAAACACAACACAACAAGGTACACAAAGAAAAAGAAACAGCTGAAAGCCAGTTTGTGTGATAACTACTCGGAAACGTGGGTTACATTTTCTTGTCAGCGGGTAATTATGACTCCAAAAGAAGCTTGAAGGTCGGAAGCAGGATAATTATGGTAATTCTGAGATGACTTGACAGAAGCTTTGGTAATTAACATGTGCAAAAACCCGTTGAAAAAGAGAGCATCAGATCACTCATTGGTTGGTTCCAGTGATTGACAGTAAGAATATCTGTGGGTGGTTTTGTCTCACTGATCAACATTTATCGGCCTTTTCTGTTTTTTGGTGCAAATGTCAGACACAAATATGGTACAAGACTATGGATGAGCAATCATAGATACAAGGCAAAGTTCTTACCATACATGCAGTGCTCCAGATGTCTGCAGGAGTGCTGTAACCTGCACCGATCAGAACCTCAATGGAGCGGTACTGCCGGGTCTGAATGTCTTCTGTAAAGTGCTTGTGCTAAAACAGAAAGAGAAGTTGTGATTTTCCACTGTCTGATCCAAACAAAGACCCAAGCTTGTCAGTCAACTCCAAAATGTCAATTGTTCAGGTGATAGAGTACAAAAATACATAATAACAATAATAATTCTCTCCATAAAATCAACTGGTGAAGGTATAAAGAAAATGCACCATGAAGAGGAATATAATGCCTGCTGGAGAGTGATGACATACACTGATGTTATATTGCAGGCAGAAGCTAAAGATAAAAACCCATTTTTATATGGCACCCAGATTAGTGACTAGAAAAGAAGAAAACAATTCCAGCTTGATCATGTTAATCTGTTTTAGGTTCTCTTACCACCCAGCAGGCATTGCCCAGGTCCGCTATCTTCACTCTGAGTGTTTCTGCATTGCGAGGGTCCAGAGGATTCACCAGAAGATCAGCAGCTCGTGCCTTAGCTGGATGAACAAGTATAGAGCTGTTAACAAAGCTGTTGGCAGTGCAGTCCTGCTAACAAATCTCCAAGCAAGTATCCAAGAAAAACAGTAATATATATTTATGTATATGTACAGTACTCTGACAAAGTCCTAAGCATACTGTTTAAAAAACAATTTTCTCAGCAGTGAGTGTGTTTGGGCTTGTAAAAGCACCATGTATCATTAGAATAATGCAAGTAAACATAAATACAAAGAAAGTTAGAAGAATTTTTTATTAATGGTTGTAGATTTTGACATCCCCAGCCATCACACAGATTTGTTAAATTGTAAAATATTGTTCTACTTATATGTTATTATATGGAGTTCTCACCATTTACAAAAATGTGTTCTGATATAGTTATTATATGTCTAAAGAGGCAAGATAGTAAATATCATAATTACGAAAGAATAATAATAATACTCATCTGTCAAATGTAATAAATATCCATTCAAATCAGAAAATGCATATTTAATTCATCATGTTTGATTTAGGTTCCTCAGTAGATTTATTTGGCTATAAGAGCTAGGCTAGCTGGCCATGTAATAGAATGAGCTGGAATTATGTAATTACAGCAGGAAAAATATACCAGCAACAGTCTAGGCTGCTTAAAGGTTGAAGCACAATAAACTAATTTATGTAGCAAGTTGAAACATCATGAAACAGCATGAAGGACTGAAAATGTGCTTCAGAATCATCAGAACAAGAGTAGGAGGACGTGCTACAAAATTATATAAACGTGCAGTGTCAAAAAATGATCATGGAGCATTAGAAGGGGAGTGGGTGGAGTGTAGCTGTCTAGGGGTTATCTATCAGTGCAGTTTACCATAATGAATAGTTAAATGGATTTCACAAATCATTATTTTGGAAATGATTTAAATATGTACCACTGCCGCTCAGCTCCCTTCCGCATTCACAAAAACTCAAGGACATTCTTGGCCACTTTACCCCCCTGAAGTAATGATCCCAAAAGTATAGTGGTATGTCAGTCAGTCCTTTTTAATGCTTCAGTAGTGAATTTCTGTCCTACCTTTAGGTGTATCCCCAGTGCTGGACGATGAGACTGTGCGGCTGCGGTCAGCGTTTGGGCTCAGTGGGGGCTCTCCTTCGTCTGGCCCACACTCTCCTGGTTCAGGGTCCAGGGGCAGCTCGGGAAAGCGTGGAGCAGTGCCTCGGTGTCTCGCCCCATTAGTGAGACCAACCATCTCACCATTAAACAGCTCATAGGAAGCGTCAGAGGCGTCCCGGTCAGTGGTGCTGATCTCGGACTCCACCAGGGGGCAGAGCAGAGGTGAGGGGGAGGGAGAGGGCGCTGGGGGCAGAGGGATTGATACATGATCATGGTCTTTTGCATCCAGGATCACGTGACCATTAGTTTTCGGGGTATCGTTGTAACCCTCTGTAGAGTTCCTGAGCTCTTGTCCTTCATCCTCTGCTTCATCGTCGTCTTCGTCATCTTCGTCGTCATCTTCATCTTCTTCTTCGTCGTCACCTTCTTCTCCCCTTCTTCCCTCTTCTTCTTTGGGTAGCTCAGGCTGCTCCTCATTGGTGCACTTCTCCCCCTTTGGCTCCAGCTTCTCATCAGAAGGAGAAGCTTTGGCACAGCCTTCCTCTGCTCCTTCTTCTTCTGCCTGCTCTGCTCTAGACTCCTGCTCCTCTGCTGCTTTCTCCTCCTCTTCCTCCTCTTCTTCTGTTTCCTCTGGCTCCTCCTCCTCCTCATTAGCAGCGTTGCTGACCTGCTCGTGTGAAGGTGTGTTTGTGTCTCTCTCAAATGAGGGGACTTCATTGTCAGGAACATGTGCGTTGGGAGGCACCTCACAGTCCTCATCTTCCTCCTGCTGCTGTTGGTCTGGAGGAGCTGCACCTGAGAGATACAGAGAGCAAGCGAGAGAGAGAGAGAGAGAGAGAGCAAGAGAGAGAGTGAGAGAGGGGTAGAAAGACAGAGGTTCTGTACTCAGAAATGAATGAATCAGTCATTGCCTGTGTGTGTGTAAGTACACGTGTATTTGCACACTGCCACTCTGTGGGGGTGGAGAGGAGGTTGGAGGCTTGCCTGTCTCTGCACTAACAGACATTAGCATCTCTCTCTTCATTCATTTCCAGCCCATTCTCTGTAAGCTTAAACAGATCTAACAAATCAGCATTACAGTCCCATGCAAAAGTTTAGGCACCCCTGGTCAAATATTGTTTTGTTGATTTTCTGTAAAAACAAGTTGACACATCTTCTACAAAGAACACACTTCTGCACATTTTAATGCACAATTACTGCTTACTGGCTGAATTTATGTTGGAAAAAATAAAAAATAAAACGTGACCTGTGCAAAAGTTATGACACATCTAATGTTGCATATAATTTTTTCTAAAATGTTAAATTCAAATAAATAGAAATGCTCTGAAATCTGCAGAAAATTATTAAATGTTATTTGGGAGTAAAGTATCGGTAGGGCTAGTATTCAATAAATTTGATAATTAAAATGTTCAAAAACACTAAAGTTATGAAACCACACACGTCTATAGGGAACTCTGTGGAGATAAGCACAGCTGTTGAAACCCGATTCTGAACTTTCTCTTTTGAGGCCATAATTGGTTTTAACTCCAGGTGCAGTCCAAACCATCTTCCTACTGTTCTAGATTCCTAGCTAGCTAGCATGCTCTCAGTTACCTTTTTCCTAGAAAAAAATGAGAGCATGCAGCCTAGGAAGCTGTCCGAAGCAGAAGAAACTCATTCAGACTGCACCAGGTGCTAAAAACGAGTAAACACTTTGTCCATTGTGTAAAATGACAGCCTCAAAGAAAACAAGATTTACCATTATTGCCAATGTATTGGTTCAGTCTTTTCTGTTTGTATTTACCGCTACTTAAAGTAAGCTGTTTTCTCCACTGACTGGACACAAGTTATCCACTCTAATATATAGGCAACATTTATGTTTACAAACATTCTCCTCTGGTCGATACTGAAATGGAAAAGAATAGAACGAAACAGAAGAGGACAGAATGTCTCAGTTGAGCTCCTTCTAGAATCCTCTGAGCTGCTCTGCCTGCAGCTGCTGACCCACTTGTGCTAAAATCTCTCTGTGCTGGAGGAGGGAGAGGCCCATGTGATGATGCTGATAACCGTGATGCACACGCAGATAAAAATGGAAAATTAGGGGGAATAATAATGCACAGTGTTTGGCTCTCTAAGAGACAGATGGCTGTAATGATTGTGGGGTTTTTGAGGATAAGCAGGTTTTACATAACATTTTATGTCTAAAAATAGGCAGGCGCTCACTTTCATCTCATTTATATCAATCAACATCAATCAAAGCAAATACTTGTGATCTGGAGGGAGTTGTATTATAAACAGGCTCTCTACTCACATGTGTGGTTGGTCAGTCTGACAGGTCGCTCCCTCTCTCCATCTCCCTCCTCCTCTTCCTCTGCCTCCTCATCTTCATCGTCCTCATCTTCACTATCTCCGAGAGCAAGTGTAGGCCCTGGTGGGGGGTTTATCCCTTCGTTGGCCTTCTGTTTCTCTGCCTCTCTCTCCAGTGCCTCAATCTCCAGGATGCGCCTCTCCAGCAGCTCTGCCTGTCGCTTCTGCTTCTTCTTCAGCTTCTTCTTCTTGTTCTTGGAGATCTTCCCCACCTACAAAGGGCAGCACATGCACAACCACTCACAATCAAAGCTTCACACACTCCTATGTTTGTCCACATGGGAACACAATCCTTTAATATCAATGAACTAGTCTTTGGGTTGACAAGGGTACTTACTGGTTTGAGCTGGGGAGCTGTGCTGACTGCAGAGGAAAGAGGTAAAACAAACAAATTAACAATAGTAGCAGAGTTAGTATGTCTTAAACCAGATCCCTGATCTAGCTCGCTCTCTCAACACATTCTAATTCAACTCATTACAGCAGAAACACATGAGCATAGAGCTGAAGATGACACAAGGCAGCTTAGATTTTACTCTCATTGTAGGCTACTCTATAAGATTTAAAAGATCCCATAAGACGCTCTTTCTGAGTGCAAGTTGAGGGAGGATTTAATAGAACTAGGAAAAAAGTCTGTCCTGTCTCTCTGTCCCAGTTCCATATTAATGCTGTTTGCTATTTCTGATGCCAGGCTCTCGTCATCTCCTCACTCAATCATGTAGTCAGGCCCTGCTGGAGGCCACACAGGCAGCTCAGCTATAACCAGCCTGTCCTCACAGACTGGCCCTAAAGGGGACCAATCTCCATTCCTGTAGTCAGGAGTTCTACAAAGGTCATGGAGTCATCATTCCAAAAGTTCAGTAAGGACACAATACAATCACATTCTGCATGGTGTGTGACCCAATGAAAGAAAACCATGCAGCTATATGTACCTGGTTCATCTCTACTCTTGCCTTCCTACCAAGAGAGGGCAAATGCCAGTTAAGCAGTGCTTAAGTGTAAGTGCGTACAGTATGACCATGCAGATGGAGACTAGAATAGCTTAATTGGTGGGATGTTTCACCACATTTGTTGTTTTATGAGCTCTGAATACTTAAGTGTGTCAATGGCATGCAGTATTCCCAGTGCAGAAATACATAAGAGTGAAATAATCCAGAGAGAAATAGTTCAACTACGCACAACAAGCAACACATACAACTTAATATGTAATACAAACAAGCTCCATCATATGTTTCTACTTTCACCACACTGTCTCTTACTATTAGTATTTATATTACTCCTACAGGAAATAGGTCTGTTCATTTTCAAATGCAAGGTGGAGTTATCTGATGTAAATAAATACTCCTCATAAGTAGAGCTCCACCTTTTAGTCCAACCTTCCCCCCCAACAGGCAAGAATATTCTGCAGTAGTTCAAATCAATATGAGCATATTCTCCACTACTTCCCTACATTATATCCTTTACAGTTTTTCTCCCCAGAAGTACAAATTATATTTCTAATATCACACTCTCTGCATATTTCACCCCAGTCATGGTGATTAACATCCAATCTTGACCACCAGCTGCCAAACACACACACACGCACGCACACGCACACGCACACACACACTCACATATACACCGTTGCTGTCGCCCAAAAAACTTACCCCTTGTATAACCTTATATAATTCCTGTAAATATGTTTTTGAGTCCATAAATAAATGAAGTTAGAATTAACATTTAGAATGTCTAATATTTAAAAAGCAAAACATATTGAGAAATCAATGTAAATTACAGTATATTATCATCTAATATGTTCTTGATGTTTCTAAAAAATCTGGATATTTATGAATATTAAATAAAACATCTTAAATACTTTGTTATCTAGCTGAAATATATAAGTAAATAAAATAACAATAACAATTATTAATATGACAAGTGATTATAAATTTTGAACAGCAGTGTACATGTACATGTAGAGACACACACATACGCATACATAGTGACGTGAACTCCGTCCTATCACAGTAGACTTCCTGGAGGCGGAAGTTAATCCATAGAGGATATACATACAGTGAAATGGTAGAACGGGAAACACTTTTCCTAGGATGCTGCACATACTGTGTTGTCTCTTTAATACAACATATCAAAATAAATGTTGTTACTGCAAACTACATTATTTTCTGTGACTGAGCACAAGGCTCCTTTGAGACCTTCTCTGGTTTTCAAAGAATTTGTAAAAACTGCTCTGCTTGCCATTGCTGTAGTAAACCTAAAATTACCAACTCAGTCAGCAACGTGTACATGAGACAGCCGTTGCATCTGTCTATTTGTCTGTCTGTCTATATAGCATATCTTTCTGTCTCTGAATTAAATTAGGCAAATTAACACACTAGTGCTTTTTGCCCTTTTGTTCTGCTGCTCTCTTCTGCTCATTAACAAGTAATAATTGACTAATGAGGGGAGTTCGGATGCTTCTGCTAAAACTGTGGCCCACATAGGAGAGCATCATTATACTTCAGTCTGAAATTATTTCAGTAAGTCATAATGAGCTCTGTGTTATAAGCTGAGCTTTAACTCATTTACATAAGTGTTATAATAATGGTGACCTCTACTCTCTTATGCTATGTTTTGACTTACAGGCTAGGAAACTGCAAAGGGTGTAAGTGTGTGAAAGCATGGGGCACGTCACATAAGCATTTAATCAAACAAGCTTGGGCCTCTTACTGGAAATTCGAAAAAGTGAAAGATACATAAATGAATAAATGACTAAACAGATGAGGGTAGGATGAAAGAGAATACCTGCAGATCCTGAGGGAGGGGGCGCTCCTGCTTTCTGCCACTCTGTCGCCTCCACTGCCATGCGCCTGACGAAGGCATCATCCACACACATCAGGATGTTCTCCGGCTTGATGTCTGTGTGAATGATCTTGCACTTAGTGTGGAGGTAGTCCAGACCCTGTAAGACCTGCCAATCAAATACACAGATGTTCATCACTTTATGTTTGTCACCATGCATCACTGATTGATTTTACTGTCTCTCTCTGTTGATGGTTTCATATGAATGAAAGAGGCAGTGGCTTTGAACATGAAACAGTGTGGTTTCGCTGCAGCCTTGCTAGCCTAGAGGTTCCCTTGTTATGTGTTACAGTTAGTGTCCTTTGTGTTCACATTCCTTACTGGCTCAAATATGATGTTTTATTTCTCTCTCTGTTTCTGTGTGTGTCTGTCTATTCATTTATTTATCATTTAAAAACTGCCAGTATTTAAAACATACAGTGCTGTGCACAAGTCTTAGACCATCTAAAAGTGTTATGCCATTTATCTGGGCAGTAAGCTTTTATTTCTTTAAAAATATTTGAATAAATACAAATAAACAAAAGCACTGTGATTTGACGTGTGTGTGTTTGCTTAACCATTTCCACACCTCCAGTATTTCCATTTTTTAAAATATTTTTTACCATGTATATACACATATATATAAATAAATATTCTAATGTTATATAGTGCTTTACTGGCAAAAACACACAGCCAAGACAATGAGTTTTAAACACTTTATATGGGTGCTTAAGGTTTTGCACTGGAGCTTCTTTGCTTTTTAGGGTTAAAGCACACAGTGCTTCCAACTGGAACTGTGTGGATTTTTCTTATTATTCTGATTCTTCCTGATTTGGCCAGACCAAACCAGACCATTGGCCATACATGAAACTTGGTTCAATACGTAGTATTCTCTCCTGCTACTCAGGCACCCTCTTTAACTCTAACCCTTACTATTGCACAGCCCTACGTGTTTGGTCTTGCAATTTCTAAACTAAAATTTTTCAACAGAGTCTGGCTGCAGACATGCACTCTCAGCCAGATGCACTCTCAGCCCCAGTGACGTCACATGCACAAGCACTCTCTGCCACAAAGTGATATCATCACTTAATCAATTTCTCGTCCATAACATGGCGAGAGAATTACATTTAATGTACCTCCCTGTTGAAAAAAGTCATAGAACCCATTAAAAGTGTCTGTTGGTTCCTGGTGGTTTTCAGTAGTCGCTAATGGTATTCTGCGTTTTCCTGATGGGTTAATATCACAGTGTAAAGGATTCTGATTGTTTAACCAGGTGTTTTGGGACTAATTCCACATACATTTGATCGTTACCTAATGGCCTCTATCGGCAACCATCAAGCCAATTCCGGTTAGGAAGCAAAACCATCAGGTCTTATTCCTAACGGCCTTGCAAACACAGTTACGTTGTGACAACATACTGTTTTGGTGCCCACAACGTTGTCTGCTTGGTGCTCTCTGCATTGTCACAACGTTGAAATGTAATTCCTCAGAAACTTAGACAACATTGTCTGAAAACTTTCAAGGAGGTTGTGACAACGTTGACGAGACAGCAAAAGTAATCGGTACTATGTTGACTGTACGTTGTCACAACCTCCTAGAATCCTTTAATAAGTTCTATTTTAATCAATATTACAGTTTTTGATAACTGGTTCTAATCGTCTTCAGCATGGCTTTCATGAGTTTCAGCAGCAGCCTTTTTGTTTTTTCCTACAAATAAACCCAACATTTATGTCGTGGAAGGTTTTATTTTGAAAGTTTCCCTATTTAATTACCTTATTATCAGTATGGCAACGTGAATATACATTCAGTGTCAGAGTGTGGCATTCATTCGTGGCAGAGTGTGCATTCACGTCATTAATAGGCTGGCGGTGCATGTCAGCATGTCAGGCTGAGAGTGCAGGTCTGCAGCCAGACCATTCTCAAATTTTTTGAGACAAAATTCATTTTTTCCTGATTCCTTGGGTCAAGACAAAGTACTTTACAATTTGCAACATTTAGCTCTGCCTACTTAGATTTTTTGACATGCTTACCACTGACCAATCATCATGAAACTTGAATGGTGTCTCTACGTAGGCACTTTCCAACAACAAGTAAAGTTTCAAAAGATTTGGCCACTTGGGGGCAGGGGGTGCTTTTCAAGAAAATCAAGTAATTATTACATATTACATGTATGTATGTATGTTTTATTTCTGGTCACATAACATTTTCTTATAATGTAGTACAGTGTGCCAAACAAATTTCCAATTACAAAAGTATTTAAAAAATGCAGTTTTTTGCAATCGTTAACTGTTTGACAACCATATTTTTCAAATTAGTCTCTGGGTTTTCATCTTAACTTTTTGAAATTGGTCTAGAAATACTCTGTAGCCTCTCTAGGTGAATAATTATCAAAAATATTTTGACTTTTTTACTTGGTCTCGATATGCCAATTAATGATTGCGGTCATGGCAGTGCTAGCTTAAATTGCGATAACCCATCAATCTCAAATTTACATTGATTTGATTTCACATTGATTTGTATATATTGACTCTGATGAGGTCTGCAAAATTTGGTCCAAATTGGGTTTTAGGGGGCACTTTAGCACTCAAAACCACTTAAAACAATTAAAAATGCTTTTAAACTGTTATTATGAAGTCTGCAGATAAACAACTGGTGCCTTTTGTTTCAGTTCACTGACCTGAATAACATGTAATTACATGTCATGAATTGGACTCATTGTCTGGTATTTTGACTTATTCATTCAAAGACTACAGCTTATTATATAAAGGTCAAAAGGTCAATCCAAACAAAACTCGGTGAACATGTGTTGAAGGTCCCTGATCAATAATCGTAACATATGGAGACCTTCTTACTTTCACTGAGCTCCTCTATGCCAAAAGGGCCCTTTATGGGGTTCATTATGGCATACATATCAAAGGGTTAAACATGGAGAACCAAACTACTTTGGAAATACAACTATGACAGAAATTTTACCATTAGTCATGTTGAAGTCTATGTTGGCAAGCTTTTCCATATTCAACAAGACTCAATAGCTCATTACACATGAAGCATGTATCATGTTTAAAGACTGCTCAACAATTATTGCAAATGAAGGCCTTTTGGTAAACTCTGACTTCACTGCATTTTTCATCCTCTCTCTGTAAATGAGGCCCAAATTTCATTAGGACTTCTTGGGCCTAGTTGGCTAAAACTGCATAAGGGCTTACTGTGCTAATGCGTACCTGTTGTAAAACAGTAGAAATATCAATCACAATTACACCCAGGCCAATGCAGCTTAGAATTTAACATAAGTGTCGTGATGTGGGAACTTATGAGATTATGTACCTGTCTAATGATGCTCTTCACACAAGGTAAAGGCAGGCCCTGATAGTTAGACTTGATTATCCACTTCAACAGATGGTGGCCGAGGACCTCAAACACCATACACACATCTGAGAGAGTGAGTTAGAGGGAATAACAGAAGAACTGCATTTCAGTGCTACAATCACCCATTCACTCAAACACACATACACAGTGAGAAGGATACGGATCCCGTTGATCCCAGAGATCTTGAAGTCATCGATGAGCTGAACCACCATGTCTTTATTAGGATCACTGGGGTCACTCTCACGTACCTGCGAGGTACAGAAGACAGATGGAGCAGTGTCCGATTACCCCACACACTCTACAATGGATCAAGTTGCTGAAACCTTTAGAAACTTAAGCTTAGAAGAATGGTAACACACACAGCATGTCTTAAAACTTGGCAGATCATCCAGTACAAACTTCATTAGCTTAATGAACGGTGTTTATTGATCGGCGTAAGAAGTAGAGTACAAGTGACTGAATAAGATGCAGAAACAGTGCACAATAGTGTAGTGCCAGTTAGTAGGGAGCAGTATGGTATTTATTTATATTGTGATATAATTAAAATTTCTCATAGATTTTTATTTTTTAAATGAAAACATTTAAGATGCTTGAGCAAGCCTATTTTGTAGGTTAACAGCAGCTTATTATTCTGGAATGCCCTCTAACTTTTAATATTAAACAACTATCTGAATGTAAAATATTACTTTCTATCCCTAACAAGATAAAAGGTGAGTACATGTAAGCATACAGTGGCTTCTCTGGGCCCAGCAAACATGGTGCTAAATGTTGTTTCACATCCAAATTTGTTTCAAACATGTGTCCAGTACACTCATGCTTGCATCTACGAGCGTCAGACGCTGCTAGAATTTAGTAAATATAACATTGTTAATGCTCTGAGTAGCAGAAGGCCATGGCATAGTCTGATGCAGCCGACTAAGGGAGGCAGCACCACAGGCAGTGTGAGAGGAAACAGAAGCGTGGCAAGCAAACCCTGAGAAACCGACTGTTCCACATTTATTCCATATTTCTTTACATTTGTCTGCTTCCTTGACAGCAAACTGGACCTCAGACTGTAACTGACTACACAGCGAGAGATGAGGGATTGCTGTCTTTTCATGTTCACTGAAATATCCTCAACTCAGCCAATCAGCTAAAAGAGATAACTTCAGTGTTTTGCACTGACTGCGCATTACATTATCTGAACATTGTTATGGCAAATCGGTATAAAAGTTATGACAAAACTGATATCATACAAACAATTTCATACATTATATTGTTGGTGTCAGAACAAAACGTATTTTTTCATTTTCTTACTTTTGAACATTCCACGTGCTCTTTACATTGTGTTTCATGACGAACAGACCACTAGAAATGCTCTAAAATGACTACGACAAAAAATATATATATTCTCCTGTAAAGTTACTATTTTGGAGGTTTTGTTCCGACAGTGTTGATATACTGGATGAAATGCCCATTACTAGCCTATACTTTTCACTCACACATCGGAGTAATTTGATCTCGTCCAGTGCCGTTTCTGTATAATGCTGAGCACTCTTCACCACCTTCATCGCCACAAAGCGCTTCCCTCTGTGAACAGAACACACACACACACACACACACACACACACACACACACGCACACACAAACACACACACACACACAGAAGATACTGTACAGTCGGGTTGTAACTGCTGATGAAGTGTTACTGTTGGCATGAACAAGTGTGTGTGTGTGTGTGTGTGTGTGTGTGTGTATATGTGTGTGTGTGTGTCCATATGGGGTTTTTGGCTTCAGACTGACCCACATGGCAAACAGAATGAAACTGCCTGTGGTTACGGCTGTACAACACATTCTATATTCCCTCACTAATATACCACACCATATACCACTCAAACACAAAAAATAGCACTGCTCTTCTGACTTTTCTAAGGTGTTGCATTGTACAATAAAGTGAGTAATACAGTATCTTAAACCAACTGTAGCTGCCATCATCAAATTCAAATCAACCGTATAGATCAAACATTGAAATAATTAGTTCATTTACACAATTTCCCATTTTTCCAAATGTTGTTGATCAGCCAAGACATGTTTGGTGTCCAAATGTTGCCTCTTCAGTTTAGCACTGGAGCTACAAGGCTAATGTTACCGGTAAACACTAAACGTCAACAGTCACTCTTTTCCATAATTACATCCCCAAAACTCAACCTGATCAAACAGCATTCCAGGTCTTTATTAATGTTGTGAAGACCTAACAATGTGATTTAGGACACTATAAAACTGAACAAAACTCCACTGTGTAGCTGACACATGTAGTGGTAAATTCTGACTCCCCCGCAGAGCCTGACTCCTATTTCAAGCGCATCATGCAGGCTCTAGATCACATTAGTGATTTCAGTTGTTTCTATTTCTAAACATAAATCTTCAGTGCAAAGATTCAAGATTGACAGTAAAAAGAAACAACAGAAATTGTGAACGTAATCCATAGAGTCCATATGCCTGTGTGTACGAAAAGAGAAATCGGATTACAGCACAAAATGGCTGCTCGCTGTGTTCAGCTACACAGTGAAGTTTTGTTCATTTTTATAGCTCACTGCAAGTAATATATTGTCCTAAACAACATTATTACTTATTAGTACTTATAATAATTATTATTATTATTATTAGTACTACTGACTTCTAGTGTTTGTTAGCGAAGTTAGAACTGAAGCTCCAGCACTGAACTAACACAGCAAAATATGGACATCAAACATGTCGTGGTTGATCGACTACATCTGGGTTAAGTGGAAAATTGTGCAAAATCATTCCTTTAATGTGTCTCAACCACAGTGATGTTACAGTCTTCTCTTTTTGCTGCTTAATCATAGGAAATAATTAAAGCTGCACTAATTTGATTTGTCATCTATGGTTTAAAGCATTATTAATTCGTTGCTGGTTGGTCTTCTGCTTGTGTTGCCAAGTGAATGCGTGGGCCGTATTTGTGAGAGTTTCTGTGTTGCCATGGTGTGCATGGAACTCCCAGGTGAACAGGGGTTACAGAAGCTGGTAAGGTGACTACCCGCAGCACCAGAACTGAACTGCAGTAAAGTGCTGAGTGTGAGTTTCCAGGCTGACATATGAGCTATTAGTCTAACTGAGAGAGAAGCAGATCTTCAAACAGATACGGGAACCGAAACGTGACACTAGGACAATGATACTGCCAAATACCAACCTGCTGGACAACAGTGCAGGTGCATTATGAAGACAGTGTGTTAGTGTGCGTGTGTGTGTATGTATGTGTGCATGCGTATGTGTGTGCGTGTATTCGTGTGAGGGTGTCGTTTTGCGTGCAGTTGCCATGGCGACTCACTGAATATCCCAGCATAGCCAGACGGTAGAGAAGTGGCCCCAGCCTAGCTTTCGAATCACATGGTATCTCCCATTAAACAAGTCCCCTATCTTTACTGGGTGGTACCCTCCTAAAGATAAAGAGAGACAGAGAGAAAAAGAATATATAGTCATATGCAAAAGTTTGTGCACCCTGGTCTTTTTTTATTTTCTAAGAGAAAGTAGGTAAACACATCCTCTAAAGAAGACAGATGAACAATTACTGTTCATTTGCTGAAACAATTACTGTTCATTTGCTGAATATAACAAGATGGTAATAAAACGTAAAATGTGTCGTGCAAAAGTTGCAGCATGTTTTATTTTTTTCCCCCAATATGATAACAAATAAATAGAAATTGTGCATTAAAATCTGTGCATGTTTTACAAGACAGTATTGATTTTAATGTGTAGCAATCTTTTTGGATTGCCCATAAGTAATGCTGCACTGTAAATAAACAAACAGTTATGTTCTATACTAGTTCTGCACCTCACATAGCGACCAACATCTGACAACAAGGATAATATAAGAGAGAATATACTTCAGATAAAAAAAAAAAAAAGATGGAATTTCTATGGAATCTCTAATCTGGAGGTTAGGGAACCAGCCTTGTGACCAGAAGGTCGCTGGTTCGATCCCCTGAGCTGACAGTACATGACTGAAGTGCACTTGAGCAAGGCACCTAACCCCCAACTGCTCTCCAGGTGCCGTGGATAGGGCTGCCCACCGCTCACTGCCCCCTATTGTGTGTGTGCTCACTAGTGTGTATGTGGTCTTTCACTGCACGGATGGATTAAAATGCAGAGGTGAAATTTCCCCCTTTGTGGGACTAATAAGAGTTAGTGTCATAAGAAGACCTTAAATCTCAGAAACACTAACTTACACAAGAAGGAAAAAAAGTTCTTATGTTCTGTTAATGTAACTTTCAACAATTTGAAAGGTTGGCTTTTCAAAATTCTTATTGCTCTATTACTACAAAATGTTCCACAATATAAAGGGCAGCTGGCATGTTGAAATGATACGAAAAAAAAATCCCCCTCTCTCACTCGTTCGCCCTCTCACTCTGTCATTCTTTGTTCTCTCCCTCCATGTTCCTCCTAATTTACTTTGTCAGAGGTGTCGCACCAGCAGGCAGCTTTATAGGTTTGGCAGCAGACCTCAAGGTTGTTCTCAAAGAGAGAAGGAGAGAAGGGAAAAGTAAAGACTGTATGCTAAGATCTGAGCCAATGTGAAATTAAGATCACCTCTTTACTGCTAGATCTGGTGAGCTCATACTTCAACATTTTATTTATCACATCCTCATCTACAGTCTGCAGAAGCATTGTGCTGTTTCTTGTGAGGAAGGGATGAGTGAAGGATAATGACTTCATCTTATGAAGGGTAATAAGTCTCCACATTTACAAGCAGCTTCAAAGGCAAAACTGTAAACACCAACACCAAGACGCAGCTGTCACTCATAGCCTAAAGAACAGCACTAAGTGGAGACAGAGCAGAAATGAGCCAGTCAGCTATCACTCAGCTGGTTGGATGTTGTTTGTTTCCTTTTGTTTTGCAGACGCCAGCAACAACTGCAGAACCACAACAACACTCACATACTGACACACACTTACAGACTGTCAAACAGAGTACAATTTGCAACTGAAACCAGTTTTAGGCCCCTATGGTTTATTGTTCAGTTATTAATGTTAATACTTATTAGTCACTAGCTACTGAAATGATTCAGTATCTATATTTTTTCTTTTCTGCTCATTAATGAAACCAGTATGAAAGTAATGTGGTTATGAGAGTGAGAACTGAAGCGTGGGCATGCCTGTTACATTCATGAAAAGGTGATGAATAACTGCCATAAAAATAAATGCAATTAACAATTTCATTGTTTTTATTTGTTCATTATATGCAACCATTATAGCACAGGTCTAAAGTGACCATATTGGCTGATTAGCTGTCTTGCTTCCTAGCTGTCAACACTTAATAGCTCCCAATCAACGACAGACATGACTCAGGCCTAAATAAACAAACATTACTCAGTTACTCATCGCTGCCCTTTAAATGTGTTTTAGTCAGAAGTTAAAACTGTTTTACTTTTCAGTTTTCTTTTATTTCTTTATATAGCAAATTATACAATAATAAAATGGTGGAAAATAATTACGGTTAGCTTAAATAACTGATCATTTCAAAAAGTTGCGATTAGACATTTGTGTAATAATTGCAACAGGCCCAAGTGTGAGTCCACATACAAGCTCTTTCAGTTTGAGAAATTAGAAAGGTTAGAACTGTAATACCATCTGGAGTGCCTAGAACTTCTTAAAATAAGTCAACAGAAAGTGAAAAGACAACATGTTAATCAGCCACTGAATGGATTATCAGGTCTGGAGCAATATCAGTGGTGAAATATGTTTGTTTACCATTTTTTTGATTACCTTATTGGTGAGAAAACAATGAAGACAAAGCAAAAGATGCACTGAAGAGTTACACAAAAGAGGGAGCGGAAGCAAAAAGAGACAGGAAGTTGGTACCTTTGCAGTAGTCTGCTGGGTCCTCCTGCTCCTCATCGTCAGAGCCCAAAATCTCCTCCTCTGGCTCTGGGGGTGCGACTGGCTCAGGTGGGGGGGGCGGAGGGGGAGGCGGAGGTGGAGCGGATGGGACTTTCTGCTGTGTCTCAGGCCTGCACAGAGAGCAAGGATATGAGAGAGAGAGAGAGAGAGAGAGAGAGAGAGAGAGAGAGAGAGAGAGAAAAAGAGAGCGAGACAGAGAGAGAGAGAGAGGCACTGAGAGGAAGGAACAAATCATTTATCAGCAAAACCTTCAACTGGTGCCTCTATGACTGGGTAAATACGCTGCACTGGTGAGATACGAATAGAGCCCACACTCACTGCTGGGAACTTTCATACTGTAACTACATATCAATTGACAATTACATGAAGAGAGAGGGGGTGTCTGATACTATGAATATGAATTTGCTTTATGAACAGATGTTTAATACATCTGGGTTTAGACTAGGGACACACAATCCGAATCAGAATTAGCAGATTTTTGCTCCAAACACACAATCGGCAATTAGCCAACTTATAACTTTTATTTTGGCCAATCTGTGTTGTAATTTTGTGATGCAAATAATATAGGGCAGGTAAGTGTACTTGTGCTGTATTGAAATGCTGCTGCTACAACTGTACCAATATGTCCTAGCATAATTATGCATGACTCGTCCTAAATAGACAGTTGCCTCTCAGTGCCTTACAATGTACCACTTTATGGGATTTCATTTTATGTTTCAGAATTTAAAATGCCAGTTTGGCCCGTTAAAGAGTAAATAATGTTATTCATATTACAACTTTGGCTCACAGAAAGTACTAGTGGTACTAGTGTGTTTTATGTTTTCATTTAGCCCACACAGTGTAAGCCTCAGCCAAAAAATCATCCAAGTTGGAGAAATTAGAAATCATCCAAAGAAATTGGAATCGGTCATAAAAAAGCATGATTGGTGCACCCCTAATATAAGCATATGGAAAGCAAAAGAGAGTGAATGAAAGTATAGAGTGATTACTGTTCTCCTGGCTCTCCTTCCTCCATAATCATAATTGTGGGAGGCACATTGCATATCATCATGTAACTCTGAAACAGTAACCTTACAAAGGAAGAAAAAATGTTCTTAACTTTAATGTAAGTTAATGTAACAAGATTTTATTCCAGGTAATTCTGTTACTATTTCTATTTGTCCCTTCATCATGAAATGTTCCTGTAAGGTAAAGAGTAGTGGTGGTGCAAATGACAAGACAGAAAAATGAAGTCAAGTGGTTTTGATATGACAGCAGTAATATGTAAGGACATGTTACTGCTACAACAACAACCTAAACCACTGAAGGAAGCATACTGGAGCCTGCTCCCTTCCTCAAATTCACAAACAGCTATGAACGCAATAATCAACAATGACACCAAATTAAATTCTGCAATCTCATTCTGGTACTCGATGCAGTACCAAATCCCAAACACAGTATCAAAACTGACAGATATCACAATATTGTGACACCTGATGTAAGATATGTGGAACAGAACTATTACAACACAACATAACCAGGACAAACACACACACACACGCAATTTTAGTTATCGGTGAGACATTTGCGGTCAAACAGAATAAACGAATGCCTTCCAGTGGGTTGCCATAGAAACTAGCAAGGAGAATCCAGCTGGTGTAGGGTTAATTTCCTGAGAACCAAACACAAAGAGCCACAGTCACACTGGCAACTGACATTCCAGCAGTTTCAGGGAACACACACATCCATGCACACACGACTGCATGTTTACTGAAGGAGTCCCGTTAGAGAGAGAGCACTTAGTTCAGGGCCCGTCTCTCGTGCGGCCAGCAGGGCAACAGAATCCTTGTGTGCAAGTAGCCCAAATAAATAAATATGTTTCATAAACTGCAGACAAAATACTTGTGCGTCTAGCACATCTACACAGGCTAACAGTATCTAGGATGACCAACACACAACGGACAAAACACAAAACCATTCTAACATACACACAGACAGTCTTTGTCAGGGGAGCCATTACAGAATAATGACTATAATTCCTCTATCATTCCTCACATTTCAGAATTCCAGAAAGTCAACCATCTCTCTCACATCCAGACACACAGACACATACGCACAGATACACAGAATCCCCGATATCTGATTGTAGATGTCATAAGATCATTCAAGAATATCAGAAAACACACTACAGCATATAGGAGAAACGCATTTATAAGGGCTGCATGATATGTAAAAAATACTAGAATTGGGAGAGTATAAATTATATAACATATTAAAAAAACACATTTATGAATCAGTTATGTGCCATACTTGCATTTTTTCAATTACTAACAGAAACACTAACACCCTAAACATGTTTAGGCAGTAATCACCCAATATACATATATTGCAGATCTTCCAAACCCTTTTTGCAAGTGTAAACACACATTGCATTACAGAGCACAGTTAGTCGTGTGCTGTACTGTAACACAGTCTGAATACATAAAAGGGACCAAAAATTAAGAATGAGCCAGAGGTAAATCAGAGGAAGAGACAATGTGGTGAAGGAAGAAGAAAATAGTTAGACAATGTATTAAATACAAGATATGTGCAACATCAAATCAACCATGTTCTCATTCATGGCATGACAATTTTACAATGAAATTCAAGACACTTCTAGGTTGCTTTGATAATCAGGATGTTCAGAGACTGAATGTGGAGGCAGAATGACTCCACTATTTTTTCTGGTCTAATGAATGTGTTCTTTGTACAGACCTTCTCATCTGTGTCTCTATAAATAAACATTAACCAGACAGGCTTTTGCCAGACAGAGATGGATTTTGGTGAATTTAATAAGCATTTTTGCACCAATCATGAATTTTTATAGCTGATTCCCTTTCAGATTTCTTCACAGCCAAACTGGCTGACTTTCTGAATTTCTGACCAATTTGTATTAGTTTTTATAACCCGAAATGAACAAAAAACACACTAGCACCTTTCCAATATATTCTGTTAGATAAAGTTGCAATATCATTAACATAATTTGTCCTTTAATGGGCCAAAACTGGCATTTTGAATTTGTAAAAGGTAAATCAGTTGCTTAAATGTTATTTAAATAACATGAATCAAATAAAGTATTACATTGAAAGTAAGGGGCACCTGGTCATTTATCATATTGAGTCAGAGATAATTATGCTGCAACATTTTGGTAAACACATAGCAGCAGCATTAAAATACAGTGTGAGCGCACTTACCAGCCTCATGTGATTTGCATCATAACATCATAAAAAGATTAGTCAGTTGTGTGTTTGGACAAAAAACTGCTGATTCTGATCTTCGCCGATTCTGATTGTTCATCTCAAGATATAATTTAGAAAATCTGTCTTAGAAGATTAGCTTGCATAAATTTGACCAAAATAACTGACTTCTGTTGGATTACATCACAGGTTCCCATCCCTGGTACTGAAGCACCCCCTGTCCTGCACACTTTTGTGTATTCCTACTCTAACACACACACACATACTCCAGCTCAGAAACGGCATGTTAATTAGCTGATCAGATGTAAAATGTGCAGGGCAGAGGGGTGCTCAGGGTTGGGAAGCACTAAACTGCATGAATGCCTTGATACATCAAATACAAGCACAAAAACATTTATCTTTACATTATCTGTCTTTTTGCATGATTCAGCATTTTGTGATATTTGTGTTTCAAAGTCCAATATCTCAATAACAAATAATACACTGTGCAGCTCTAGAACTTCTAGGAAGAGGTGAAAAGTAAAATATTTGGCACCAATTAAAAAGTAAAAAGACTTAACAAATAATTTAGAATATCAGTTAAACATCAGCTGAAATGAGAACGTCAGTAACAAAACACAACCTTCAAGCTGAATTTCAGCAACTAACAGTTATGAACATGTAAGAGATTGCATGCCAGACATTAAGAGTTTGCCTCAGGTTGGCATTGGTGAAGCTAACATGTCCAGAAAGGAATGTTCTCTGTGGGTGTGTGTGTGTGTGTGTGTGTGTGTGTGTGTGTGTGTCCACAGGCAGGTCCATACAAAAAGACAAAGAGATTCAGAATGGAGCATGTCACTGTCTGTACTCACCACACACCTTCACCATAACTATACACTCATGCACAATTACAGTCCACCATTCACACCCTTAAGGGACATTCAGAAAGCCAGCGTTACATTCTAACAGCCCTGCCCTGCCTGGACAGCCCCTACAAGCATACATACTCTCACGCCCTGTGCTAAGTCTCTACATGCAGAAGCACTCGGCGTCTGTGATCCGAATGATAATCATCACTGCTGACGCAGCATCGCAAAGAGGGAGAAGAGGGAAGAGAGAGGAGGAGGGAATAGAAAGAGACGAAAGTGAGAAAGAAAAATCTGTAAACCCAGTCTATAATAGACTTTTACACCTGCATATATGTGCTGTCTTATACTGCAGTCATACTGTTTTAATGGGTCAAGACTTGGCTCTCACCTGTGCTGTTATTCAGGCCAAAGAGAGAGTTAGAGAGAGAGGGCGAGAGAGAGAGAGAGGGCGAGCGAGAGAGAGAGAGAGAGAGAGAGAGAGAGAGAGAGAGAGAGAGAGAGAAAGAGATCTTTTAAAAATAGGAACAGTTCCAGAAAAGCAAAGGATAGCTTATACTAGCAAACCAGGACAAGAACTGGAGAAAATTGGGATATGTGTGTGTGTGTGTGTGTGTGTGTACTCCAGTAGCTGGGTCATCTGATAGTGTTCAGCCATATATAACAAACATACTTTGATACTTTGTGCATAGACTACATCTTGCCCTACATTTTCCTTATATTTATGTTTTCTGTGTGGTTTTATGTAACAAAAACAATCACAATTTATTTTTATATGCCCATTTTTCAATCTCTCATAATCCTTTATGCTGTGTTAATATGTTTGCCGTACACAGACGACAGCAAACGAATATCCTATTGTATTCAATGGTGCCGTGACAGAAAATTCCGCCACTACAATCTCTAATGTTCTGCAGACTGCAGCGGTAAACGGAATATTCTGTCAAAAGTTCAGACTTCCCAACTTATGTCATTGACTGCAGCGGTGAAACAAACCGGATGTTGATTTTATGGGGAGCCATGGACGCCAAACATCTTGTTGCTGAATTC